AAATGATGTATGCACAAATAGTAAACAAAGGAAATATTCCATTACAAAAGGAAACGAGGCTTTGCGTCCCTGAAAGCTACAAAGAAGAAAGGGAAAAGTACAATCGAAAAGTTCAGAGCAACAAGTCCAAAAACAGAACCGATCACCTCCCCCCCGGCACCTCTATTAGGTCGTTGTAGGGGAATCGACATTAAAGACCTTGGCAGCAGCTGGAACAGGCGAAGCAGGGATTGAAGCAACGGTAGGTGGGACCGGAGGGTTTGCCTCCGGTAGGGCTCCCCCGAGGCTTACACTGGGGGTGGGACCACGTCCTCAGCAACGACTTCGGCCTCGGCCTGAACCACCTCCCTTGAGGGCACATAGATATACATCTAGGGGAGAATCAGAAGGAATGCCAGCGGTTCGGAACGCCTCATCCCAGCCCCTCTTGAAATAATCCGTGCTATTCTCCTCGAGGGTAGGCAAGGACGCTATCGGCAAACTCATTTCGAAGTTGTTCCTCTGACTTCTGATTGTTCTCCATTTCAGCCCTCGCCTTGTCAAGCTCCTAGGTAAGGGCCAGACAGTTTTTCTCTGACCCGACTGCTCTCTCCTCGACTGAAGATAGCCGTTGTGTCTGCTCCGTTATTCTTCTCTTAGCGTCGGTAAAGGCAACCCTTAGCTTTTCAGTGCTAGCCCTCGCCGATTCACCGTTCTTGAGCAGTTGCTCTATTTGGGCTACCTGGGTCGCCAGGGTAATGTCTCTAGCAGCCATATCCTCCTTGGAGACGACGAGGGCTTCTTTGGCTTTTTTCCTCCCCTCCTCGGCTCGCTGCAAATTCATTCTTGCCCCATGGTAGCGTGCAGCGATCACCAAAATCTGTTGGGTGGCCTGCGAGGAAAAAACTTGGTTGAATCATAGTTTTTGAAACATGGGAAAAACAAACAGAGAAGTTGAACTTACCACCAAGGAGTTTTGAATAATTGAGCGGAACAACGAGTTTGTCNGAAAAAGACTTGGTTGAATCATAGTTTTTGAAACATGGGAAAAACAAACAGAGAAGTTGAACTTACCACCAAGGAGTTTTGAATAATTGAGCGGAACAACGAGTTTGTCGTCCGCTCCCGATGAGCCTCCATGTTGGCTCCGAAGTGAAGCATCTCGCTCACCGCGTAAGCCATATGAGGATCCTGGGAGATGGAGTCATTAACCTATATTATCCTGTTTATGTGATCAATGGCCCGGGGGTTCCACTCTATCGCAGCCTCTGTCGGCGGAGGGGGATGTGGAGTTTGCTGCTGTTGCTGTTGTTGTTGCTGTTGTTGCTGAATTTGTGGCTAAGGTAGGGGACCCCTCCCTCGGCCCCTATCACCTTGTTGCTGAGGGGAGGGGGCCCTACCCCTGCCCAAGTTGTCATGTCTTTGTTTGGTTCTCTTCTCCTCCTCTATAAGAGGATCCCGGTCGCACACCTGACCTTGACTGGTGGGCCTTGGTGTTGGAGGGACGATGTTGCTGGTCCCTGAAGGAGGTGGGGGTACATTGGTGGTTGGTCCCCTGCCAATCTCAGCATCAAGGGATTGCCTCTGCCTCAATAAGTTCAAGTCAATTCGTGGGGGCGACATGGCTACCTCTAGCACGTCCTCGACGTCCAAGGATTGAAGAATGTTAATGTCGGACCCCGCCACCCTTCCCGAAATACCAACCTCGGTGTATGCAGGCATAGAAGACTCTCTGGCCCCGGGTTCCTCTACTTCAACGACACCCTCAATTTCAGCCTCGGTGGCTCTATCGGGATCTCCCTCTAAGTCCTGCTCAAGGCCTTGCTACGTTGCCTGGTCGAAGAGCTCAGACCACCGTGAGGGATTGAAGGGTTGAGGGAGCTGAGAAATTTTTTTTTATCTTGGCGTATAACCCAGGAGGATGTGTCCAGCTCGGCCAAAACTGTCACCACCGACGTGTCCCCAAACAATGGCAAGGTCGGTAAAATTCACCAAGCACCGAGAAGAAGGAGTAACTTTGCGAACAGAGACGTCTGCGCAAATAAGAATGGATATCGTTAAGAGTTGGCAAGATATTTAAAGAAAAGACATAAACAAGAAAGGCACGAAGAGGTCGACGTACTTGTTGTTCTCCACTGCAAGGGGCACCTCAGACCAGCATACTCGGGGCCAGTTCCTCTCTCCCAGGCCCCACTGAAGACCAACAGGTCATCCTTGTATCCCTTGTCTGAGTCAGGGAGGTGGGTCACTAGATACATGGATGAGTCCCTAGCCTTGAGCTAGAATTTTTACTGGGGCATCACCCTCAACAAGGAATAACAGAAGAGGATGTCATCGAGACCAAGATTGACCCCGAGACTCCTGTTGAGTTCTAGGACCCCCACTACTATCCTAAAGACATTCAGGCAACATTGCCCGGGGACGAGATTGAACCGAGAGAGGAATTGGAGGAGTAAAAGGGGGCAAAGGGAATCTTATCCCATCCTCTATGATAGCCTTGGTGTAGAAAGGCATTGCATTCTCGGTCCCCGACATCACGATTATGCCGAGGAGGTTTAAATTCCTCTACACCAACATTACGGGATATACGATAACGGGCTCTAAAACTCTCTATCTGCTGATCCTCCGTAACCTTGTTTTTCCCTGGCCTTGAGGGACCGATATTTTGGATCTCGGTGTCGGGGCGGAGCCTAGGCATCTTTATAGAGGAAATGAGGATCCCCCCCCAAAGGGTTCTAAAGAGTTTTTCAAACCACTGGGGAGATTGACGGGAACCAGGAAGACCACCGGTCACCAGAAAAACCAGGAGGAAGGAAAAGAAAGAAAGAGGAAACGAAGACTCACCGGAAAACTAAGGAAGGGGTCTAGAAGCTTGGAATGACTTGTTTCTTCGTCAAGAGTCTGGTGGCAAAAATGGTGCAGGTGTTTCTACTCCGGTGGTGGCTGGAAAAGCGGTGGTACAGCTAGTTCTCTGAGGAGTTTTCCGACAAAAGCTCTCGTAAGTTTTTCAGATAAACTAAAGTGTAGAAAAGGGAAGAGGGCTCAGTTTATATAATAATTGTCCCCATCATTATGCACGAAACACTAAAAGGCGCATTTAATGCGCACAATCTCCAAAGCAGCGAAAAACGACTGGGAGCAATGATGAGGTGGTTGGGACATTTATAAAACCCTTCGCCTTCTGACGACACGTCTCCTTTGCATCAGAAGATCAAAGGGCTGGGGGGCAGTTGATGAGACATTTTTGGAAGGAGACAAATCGACGACACGTGTCATCGGCATCATTATATTCCTAGCCAAGTATGGCTACGTGTCCTCGGCGTTGCTCATCCCTTCCTGCCGAGACGATAATGATCGGAGCCAAGGAACCCCCAAAACGGTGTGATTGACACATATATCCTCGGCTCGGTAAAAACCCTCTACCCAGAAGTAGGCAAATATCCCTCGGTGCTGAGGTGTTTCTTCTAAACGCTGGATCCCACCTCTCCTCTGATTCTATAAAAGCTAATGATTGACAGATGACTAGCCTAGGCCAGGCTAGGCTAGCCATCATGAAGACGCTCTGCTCAATGGTGTCAGGAGGTGCAGGTATGCAGAACATACAACCACGGAGGAGTGGACGTGTGGAATGTGATATCAAATCAGTAACAAAAAGACCTAGATACCCCTGCTGACACATGACTAGAGTAAGTAAGCATTTAATGAATCCTCCTCCTGATAAGACATCAATTAAGGCCTGGGGGGCCGAGAAGTGAAATGCATTAAAGACTCTTATACCTGGGCATTTAATGCATCCTCGCCGAGAAGAGGAAAATTGAATGCTCGACAGACCGAGGAGAGAGCATTAAATGCTCGGCGTTCCGATCAGTTAAAGTAAAGCACATTCCCCATAAAAGTGAGGGGCACACTACCCCATCTCTGACAAATACTTGCTAGATGGACTATCAACAATCATGAGCCTTTGAAGGTATAAATAGTTCTAAAAAATGCATTGTAAAGGGATGCAAGAACTTCTCTAGAGAGCCATATACAGTGTTTTCTTTTTCCCCACTCTCACAGTTACTGATTTGATCGTTGGAAGGGATATGCCGAAAAATACTCTGGCGCCCTTCTAACTCGTTTTTCTATGTCCCAGGATCCTCCTATAGCATTCCAGGACCGGTTAAGCAACCCAACAAACAATTCATCACCACTCTTTAGACCTCCTTTGGCCTTCTCAACCTATTTTCAGGAGAAAAAATCGACCGCTGCCTCGACGGGATCGTGTTCACCACAGGAGAAACTTGTTCTCATATATATTGTGCAGAAATTTGCACGCACAGATGAAAAATATGAATTATATACTTTCCTTCTTTTATATTTGGTTGGATGGATGAAAAATAATAATGATCAATTTTTTTAATTTTTTTTGTCTAATATTAGGACAGACAATCGAGTTGTGTCGTCGTGTCAGATTCATGTTGAGTTATAAAATTATGAGTCTTTTATATTTTTTGTTCGCGTGTCAGATCATTTTTAAGTTTGTGTCATAAAATTTGTGTCGAGTTCGAGTCGTATCATTGTGTTAAGTCAAAAATTTTCATCCCTAGTTAAAATGAAAAAATATATTTTTTAATTTAAAATATATTTTTATTTTTTAATTTTTTAAATATATATATATATATATATATACATATTTTATCATTATATTTTATATGAATTTAATATATACATAATATATAGACAAATAAGATATATTTCAACACAAATAATTAATTTTTTATCAACTTTCTTTCTAATTTTAGAGGAATTGATTTTAATGAGTTGGAAGAAAAATTAATTAATTAATTTTTTTATTATTTATATTTTTTCTTCATTACTAAATATAATATTTTATTTATTCGCACGACTTTCCAACACGTAACTTTCTATCCTTACATTTCCATCGTGCCAAACGGAAGCCTCACGCCTGATGTTCCAGAAACTTCGGGTGAGCTCTGTGCGTAACAGTGTTTTAACAGCTCAAATGGCCCTGTTCCGACATGTGTACCCTCACCTATGGACCACGTGGATCCTACGTGGCAATACAAATCGCTTGTGAAAACCCCTTGGAACCAATGATCGGAAAGGGAGGAGAAAGTGAAGGTGAGAAAATGGAGGAACATAAAGAGTCTGTGGTGCTAATGTGGGGATATTTACATGGAGTTTCGTCGCAGCGATCGCCGATACTTTCTCCGGTGAAGGTTCGGTTGCCGGAGACAGGTGTTTCCGGAGATTCGTGGAAGGACGTTTGCGGTGGCGGTTGTGGATTCGCTATGGCGATTTCAGGTGATTCTTTTATATCTGCCTTTCTACCTCTCCGATATGTGGTTTGTTCTTTCTACGTGATTTCGAGCTTGATCTGTCCACGTTAAGTGTTCCTGCTACTAAACATGCAATCTTCTATGTAAATAGTAGCTACATTTGCTTTTTTTCCGACTGATTTTTCTTAATTCCTCTGGTTTTGCTCTCTGATTTCGATCTTGATGTCTTGACGTAAAAATGAGATTTACTCTTTCCGTCTTTTTTTTTCCTTTTCAGTAAACGTGATTCAATCTCAAAATACTTTACATTATTGAATTCGAAATCTACCGACTCTCGCTTACCGTTAACTTCTTGGTGACTGCTAACAGAAGGTAGAAAATGAAACAGTTATCTTGAACTTGATGTTTACTAATAAAAACGGAAGTTTCCTACCGCTACCTAATACAAATTTACCGAACAACAAAGTATACAGTCTTGTTTCTCAATTGTAATAAGTAATATCAAATTGAACAAATAGAAGGTTACTTATAAAAATCAATGCAAGACAAGTTAAGTGGAGAACATATACTGATGAAGCTGAATAGAACATCTATAACCAGGGGCAAAGCCAGAAATGTACCATAGTGGGGGCAAACTCTGGCAATAATAAGATAAAAATGATAATGCAGGGACTTTGACAATTTAATTGATTGTCCACTTTATTCAATGCTAGGATCCACTATTTATCAAATAGCCAAAACCCATTAGGTCCTCGCATTAGATCTTAATAGCATTGCTCTAAAAACATTGATTGATATTTCTTTTACTAAATACATTTAAACTTTCATCGAACTAGTTTTCATATCTCAAAAACATTACATGATAATCTCATTACCACCGTAATTAAATATGTTTTTCTCAATAAATCCAAATTATGGTGTGAGAGGGGGTGAGCTAAAAGGAGAGAGTAAGAAAAATAGAGAACTATGAGCTTCAAGATGATTTCCTCAAAAATATTTTGAAAGGATTCAACTAAATAAACATTATTTTAGTTTACTTTAATTGAATTTAAGAAATTTCACCCGAATATCATAAATGATTAGGACTTAGGAGGATTAAAGTGCATGAGATTTTATTTTGAGGGGGCAACTTTAAAAATATGTCAAAAGTCAAAACACAGAAAAAAATTGTTGGCTAAAACGAATTGAGTGTGGGCAGCCCCCACAAATGAACGAGTGGCTCCGCCCCTGTCTATAAGACCAGACCAGATATTAGCCAGCTAGGTAATGCGACATGCTCACGGAAGAAAGGTTAAAGCAAGGTGTTCGTAGAATGGATGTTAGTGAAATAACTATGCTGATAAGGATGTGTTGAAAAATGGTCAACACCGCTAAAAGTGGCATGACCTACGTCAGAAATATGCTAAGGGAGACAGAGGACACAAATTAAAATGGGCTAAGACAGCAAGGAAAGATATGGTAACATATTTTTTTTTAATTGTAGAGAGGCCCTAAACAAAATCGAATGTCGAAATAGGTCTCATGTGGCCAGCCTGAAGCAGTTAAGATTTTTAATCATTTTTCTTTTTTTGTCATCTTGATGCAATTGCATGTTAATTTTTGTATTCTTGGGCTTATTAAATTTAGTTATACTGGTTTCATA